CCTAAATAATCTTCGGTAAATATTACAGTCATTCTTTTGTCTTGTTTCGTCTTTAAAAGTTTTCATTGTGTTCGTATTTTATTAAATTTACAATTTGTTTTTCTATAAAATGCAGTTTAAAAATATTTCACAATAATTAATAGATATTAATTTTTTTAGTAACTTAGTATTTTAACTTTTCCAATATTTCTTTATTATTACATTTCATAATTTAAAGTCACGCGTTTAAATTTAATTTCATTACAACGATTAATATAGAGATTTGATAAAAATAAATAGAGAATTCAATTGAAAAGTGCATCTGCGAATGGGACGATTTATATGTCAGGCAATTGTATCACTTTTGATTGTATGATTAATATATTTTTCTTTTTGTTACAGGTGATCATCGTAGGATTTATCATCTACTCATTTTAATTTTCTTCTACTTGAGCTCTTATATAATGACTATTTTTTAAAAAGCATTTCTGAAGGCACACACAAAAACTAAATATGACATTTATATTGTTACTTAAAATTCTATAACAAATGTAGCTTTAAATATTTGTGAAAATGTACCAAAGATTTTGCAGATAGTTTTTAACAAAAAAAAAATAAATATTAAATTTAAATTAATATTTTAAATATACGCGGAGAGAGACAAGGAAATGGTTCACGATTTTTTAAAAGAGTTTTACAGTCAATTATTCTTTCATCTATCAATCTATTTATTTATTTCTTTTTCATTCTTTATCATGGAACTTAATATTTTGTAATTAATTAGAAAAAGGAAGCTTCTTCATAAAATTGATGTATAGAATAACCTAACAAGTTATAAATTGTGTAGCTAGGGTTCTGAAAATTTTTTTCGATAATTTAACGAAGGTTGATATTTTATTAATACCGACAAAATATTATCTCTTATGTACGGTTTTTACCTTTCCTTCGAATATATTTTTTATTGCTGCTATTTTCTAATGGAAAAAGATGAATTTTAAATTCCAACAAATAGATTTTATATTTTGGGTAATTCCAGTGTGATATTTTTGGTTTCAATTGTAATTTTTTTTTAAACTATAATGCTATTTTTATTATTGGGTTTATGAAAGAAAGGAAATGGAATAAATATTAATCACATGTGTTTTCATAGTATCGTAATATATTTTGTAATAAATTAATGTTAGATATACTTCTATCGTTTAAATTTTTTTTTATCTCGTAATCATGAAGTTATTTGTCTGTATGTGGATGGGTTCACATATAATTCCTGTATTTGTATTCATATATTTATTTTGTTTCTCAAATTTGTAAATTCCAATGTTGATTAATATTTAATTCAATTAAATCTTAGCTTACATGATCATCATTAATCGAATTAAATATCGTCGAAATTTCTCTCGTAAATTTGGCGCAGTCAATTTATTTTTTTAAGAACGAAAGCAGTTAGATAAAATTCTATTTTTGAGATTTATTTAATTAGAAGTAATACTTTCCATAGAAAACTTTGAATATATAATATAATTGAAATGATCAGAAAGCGATAATTTTTCTCGAATCATTCGATGCTTGAATATTGAAATAATAGTGTATCAAACTGCTTTATAAAGTATAGTACTTGTGTCGATAATACTTAGGAGTTCTATATCTAACATATACATGTATAGGTAAGACATAGTTAGGTACATGATCTGTGGAAATGATTCTCGAGTAGTATTTACTGTTACCAGTACTACAATGTAGATATTTTATTACAATACTTTTGTTAATAATCATTTCCATTTTCAGAATAATATTACTCGAAGTAACTTATTATTATAATATATTGAATAACATTTGATGGAAGACGTAGGCGATAGATCAAAGTTTCTTTATCGTGTATTCGGTTGGTGTCATTGTTCAGAGAAAAATAATTAATTAAATGGGGATTTTTAAGAACAAAAATTCCAATATTGTAATGGAGGAATGAATTTATTCGTTAAGATAAAAGTACTCGAGGGATTTTAATAATGTAGGTGTCTATGCAAAATGAAGTACCTACACTTGTCTCTTCGGAAAGTTTTATTGAGTACCTATACTTGTATATAAGTACTGAATTACAAGTACCTTAAGCAACACAGCAGTTAGTTATTACGTCTTAAGAGAAAATTTGTAGTTTATTTTTTTATTTCTTTTACCTTTCGAAGTTTCTTTATATCATCCGCAAAGACATAACTCGGATGCATATCGTATTTTATGAAATTTAATTTTCGACTCAAATTTAAAATGGAATAGAAGAAGATAGTAACTTGTTAATCTTCGTAATTTATTTTTTAATAGAGAATTAAGCTTGAGTAAATTTGCAGTAACACCGAGTCACTCTTTTTAAGTATGCTAATGCATACAAAACAAACGGATTATGAAGATTTTTGATTAGAATATTTGAAGCCGTATCGTAAAGATTCGCAATGAATGAAAATATAATATAAGTATTATTTAAAAATATATAATAATATATATGTGTGTATGTATATATATTTAATTGTTTGGTCCTTGGATCCCTTGCTAGTTCTAATATTGTTCGTCTACGTGTGTTTAAGGTACATTGCATTTCTTCCATCGTTTTTAAAGAATGTTCCCATTGATTTCGTCGGAAGTCTAAACTTTTGGTATTATTTTTATTTCATATTAATTAATGAATAATTCTATCTATTTATAACAGAACGTAAATTTCAATTAGCCCGTTCGAAAGAAAAGCGCGGACACTTTGTCGTTAAAAGTATTGTTAATTATCGTTAAAATAATTTTTGTTTCGAAACGACAATTAATATACTCGTAACTTTGGATAGTTTAATATCTAATTTTCATTCGTCGGTGTTTAACGTTCTTTTTTTAAAATTTTTTATTTTCGTTATTTGAATTCTATTACTAAAACACTTTCGTACGTCGCTATGGTTTCTTTTTTATTTTCATTTATTAATATCTTACTTACAAATGTTTTCCGCGTCATTAAACCTTTTCTTTCTGTTTTTTTTTTTGTCGAATCTTTATCGATTTCGTTCAGGTACACAAACGGTAATTACCATAGTAATCAAGTACAGAGTTAAAATGAGATACACCTCTTCTTTCACTCGCTTGGCACGGTAATTGTGCTATACTTAACAAAGCTATCCTTATGTCATAATATTTCTTACTACTTATAATAATAATAATAATATTAATACGTGTATTTATTATCCAATTAGAGGTAATTCTACTTTTCCTCGTTTCTATATTATTTGTTTAAAGTTGAAGAAAATTTCATAGTTTATTGTTAATCCGAGACGCAATTTAATCGAGTTATCCGATAGTTTCTTTGATATCTTGTTAATCCTCCGATTTTTATCATCCACGCAAAAACCTCTAAGAGTTTGACTACAAACTCAAATCCTACTATATCACAGTATCCATCTCTCTAATTTAATTACATTACCATTTTTATTTATTCTCTTTGGTCAAAATACGTGTACATACATGTAGGATTCGTGAAAATAATTGGGCCGTTGGGACTCGAGCTTTTCGGACAATTGCTCTAATCTTTGAGTTATCCAAGGCCCTTAGTTTAACTTGCTTACGAATGCCTATTTTCTTTGAAATGGATGTATTCCAATCCACATACATACATACATTCGTAAAAGTACAAAGTATGAGTTATAGCCATGATTTTAATGATTTAGGCTTAAACCAGCACTGCCCCGTCAGTTTTATTTTCCATGATAAGGTCAAAAGTTGGTGTTGAAATATCGGTAGGAGTTGGTACAGCTAATGGTGCCAAACGAATAAGGTTTTTCGGGTCCTTGTAAGGTCGCATTCGAATTTTGACAGGATGAACCAATGGTGATAGTTCCGATATTAAATTCGTGCCATTGTTTTCAGTATAATTGTTACGAAATACGGACTCGGTTGATTTGCTTTGTTCGTTCAGGATCGAAGAACTCTTTAAATTAATTGCGGAAACGGAATTGTAGACTGGAGGTAAATCGGTTTGGGTTGGATTAATTTCCGGTGAAAAATCTGCCAAGTCGTTTTCCTCGAAAGACGTGAAAATATCTGAGTCAGGTACCGAAGGTGCATCGAAAAAAGATTCCCGTAAAGACGAGGTCAATGGTTCCGGACATATAAACGGGTCTAAAGATGTCAGGTCGTTCAAATCGCTACCACTGTTGCAAGTTTGAAAGTCGTTAACCGAGTAAGAGGAAGGAAAGGCTTGGTGTTCGTTTGCGGATGTTAAAATTTCTTGACTTTTCGACGATTCCGACCATTTAGAATCGGACGGTCGTCTCGAGTTGAATCTCGTCGAATCGTGTTCACCGAATATTGGCTCGGCTAATTTATTATCTCGGGATTTTTCTAAATTTCGTAATAACGCTTCGAACAATTGTATCGGTTCTTTCGGTTCTATCGTTGACATTTCTTTGTTTGGAAGATTAATTGATTCGGAGGGTTCGCTGAAGTCTTCTATGTTCAATAATATAGACGGTAACGTGGGATCCGAATGTCGTATTGGACTTTTTCTATGATTCGATTCGAGTTCGATGTTATTTCTCGGTGAGCTTTCGAAATGATTTAAATTCTTCGAATCCTCCTCTTGCAAAGAGGATAAAGGAACTGATTCCAAAGGACTCGGTGGTTCCGAGTGTATTATAGGAATCGTTAATCCTTCTATAACATTTGGATACCGCGAAAATGCTTTATCGATTTTTCGCTCAATTCGGTTGACCGACTCGGAGTGTTTTAGTTCTATGTTTATTCGAGGTTGAGATAATCGATAGGATGCTGATAATTCTGTCTCATGTCGTATGTTCTTTGATATGCTCGACGATAAAGTGGACGGTGCTGTGTGGACGACGTATTTTGGCTCGAAACAAATTAACGTTGGCTGTTTGTTGCCGTTAACGTTGATACTGTTCGAAGATAATTTACAATTGGGACTTCCTAACAAACTACGTTTAACCAAATTATCAGTTGTTGGTAGGGACGAGTAACTGTTGTGAATACTTATGTCTACGTTATCGATGAGACCGAATCGTGGTCGAGTTCGAATTCGCGGATAAAAGTTTTTTCTCGTTTGGCTTTCCGTTTGTTGATGTTTCGATCGATTTTGGTCGACGTTACGTCCATCCAATTTGTTCTCATTTAAATTCTGAACAGAATATCTGTGAGCTACCTCCGACTTGTTCCTATTAGCAGGGAATATTCTCAAGTTAACTTCCGATGTAATACCACTGGCTGTCTTTATATTCGGATAGGACATCGATGATAGATTAGAATTTCCATGTTTATCCATATCCATATCCTTCATCGTTGCAGTCCTTTCATTGACATCGAGCGTCCTGTCAAAGTGCTTTGATTGACAATCGGCAACCGGATTGTTCGCGTTCAATAACGGATCTGACATTGCACTAGACCGAAAGAATTTTCTATTACTGCTACAATCGGAATTAAGATTTTGATAGGATATGAATTTTGGTTCGGACCATTTTTTTGAAAAATTTTTACTCAACAGTTTTTTACGATTGAGACGTCTCAAATGTCTTATTTTACCAAACGTTGGATCTAACAGGTATTTGAGATTTTTAATCTTATCGATGTTATGATTAGAATCGATAACGTGATTCCGATCGATGATATATTTCGGATCCAACATTTTTTTTAAATCTTCAATACCCTCCTCGACAATTTCATTGGGATAACATTTCGAAGATGAACTTAGGTCGGTTTCATCTCTTTCCGGTGAAATATCTGAATGTCTTCCCGACATTTCCAAACAACGTTTGCTCGAATAAAGTGTGTTGTTAATATGCGGTTTAGCTGCGAAACAATTTTCGACGTGTTGTCTTCTAATGTCGTTGATGTTGTTCACCTCGGCCAATTCAAGATTTGCATTCGAGACACGTCGAGCGGGTGAACATCCGCCATATCGACTGGGTGTAACACCGAACAAAGCGACTAAATCCTCAGCTATTTTTCCTGCCGCTATTCGCATCTCACCGTGATGAAAGGCATAAATCCAGGGATTTGCACCGCTATGTGCGAGAATTAGCAAACCAAACCATATAACCGTCCATTCCGAAAGGAAATTCGTCTCGTAGAAGATATCGAGCAGCATGCACATCTGAAACGGTAAATATCAAATTCTCGAAATATTTTTAGGATCAAATTTTTATTTTTCATCAAAATTGACTCTCATATATTTTTGGTTTAGCATTATCGTTGAATATACATCTTATGAATTCAATGTTATTTCGTTTATTTTCCAATAAAATAAATTCCAATCGTGTGAGAATAGTTTTCAGAGAATAACAAAATCCAAAGGAAACTGAAGAAAAGAAAATTTTATTGAATTTGAAAAAAAGAAGATTTTAAAAAAATTCCTAAATAGAATTACTTTGAAGCAGTGTTATAGAAATATGTATGGAAATTCGCTGCATAAAGCATTGTTTTTTTTTTTTCTTCCTTCTTTCGTCGTCGTCGTCGTCGTCGTCGTCGTCGTCGTCGTCGTCGTCGTCGTCGTCGTCGTCGTCGTTGTCGTTGTCGTTGTCGTTGTCGTTGTTGTTGTCGTTGCCGTTCTATAGAAAAATCTAACAAAATATAATATTACTTCTGTAGTATTTTGGGGGAGTAGCTAACTTTGTTTCGTTTTGCTTTTAAGAGATGTGCGTCTATTCCGCATGAATTTCTTTTGCGGTCGTTGACAGAAGAGTTGATTTTGCTTCAATAGATATCGCGTACGTTGCCCTCGTATTTACTCCCCTTTTTTATTCTATACATCGACGATAAAAAATAAAATATACGTACATACATATATACATACACATTTTAATTCAATAAAAATCTTTCTACAAATATTTCAGATATTTTACATCAACGGATGTAAACATAGATTAAATTTAATTAAATTCGGAATAATTTCTATTGATTATAAAACACGACTATATATACCGAAAGATAAGGAATGAATATTTATGAATATTAATAAAATATTTACTTACTTGAAATGGAAGCCAAAGGAGGAAAAAAGTTCCAACGGTTACAGCCAAGATTTGGCCATATCGTGGTAGAGGTAAAGTTTGCGTTTGATGTCGGAATGATAATTCTACCGTGTAAATGGCACGTGCATGAGCGCGTGCTACCAAGTAGACGTACATATAGCAACCCAGAAGTACAAGGGCACTTGGAGCCCAAACAACTATAACCAGGAAAATCCTTACAGGTGGCAAAACAGCTGCTCTGAATCTACAACCTCCGCTACGATGTAAAATAAATTAGTTTCTCTTTCTCATTTTCTCTCACACATTTGTCTTCTATTTCGTTTAGGAACATATTAGGGATATCGAATGTAGCTTTCATTATACCAATCTTTGAGTGACAATAAGAAAATATTTTTTTCTCTATCTTGAAACTAATTAAATATTAAATTATTATATTAATAATTTGTTTACCTATGGGTTTGAGTAAGTCCCATGATTTGTGTGTAGATCAACGGTGATAGTCCAACGCAGATTGCATAAATCCAAAATATTGCGATAAACTTTTCGATGTTGCTGTGAGTGATGATGTTCTTGTATCTCAATGGTTGTGCTAATGATGTCAAACGATCAACAGCTATTGCCACAGTAACCAGCACGCTTACACTACAAAGTGCGATCACGATGCAATACGGAATGATGCAAAGTGTCGATGTACCATTTTCTGGCAGGCCAGAAAGTTCTAACTGCATACCAAACGGCATGAATACTCCGACCTTTATAAAAAAGTGAATATCGATTTGAAATCGGGTTTTTTTTTTTTACTTGTTACATGTTATATGGTAATGGCTTTGATCGTCGATGAAATTCTATTTTCATGGGAAATTTATTGAAGAAAATATTCAATCATCCAATACTTTGATAACACTTAACACTCGTTACTATTATCTTCTCATACATATGACGTTAATTATTGCAATGAATTAAATGAAAAAATTACACAAACATTATTTATTTAATATTAAAATTATTTCCACTAGAAATAATATTTCAATTTTTTAACTTGGCTTATTTTAATTACCGGATCATATACGTGAGTATACGGGATTAACAAATTTTGAATCTCAACAAAAATTACTTTCATTTTATTTTATATAAAAGTTAGTTCGAGCGAAAAAATGGTTTCCATGTTAGGTTCAAAACTTTTCAACTAATCCTCGTATGAATTTCTAATCGAGTAATTATATTTTCTCTCAATAGATTAAAGAATAGTCAAGTTGTAGAAAATGTTTTCAGGAATTATCATTGAATTACTGATTTGATTCTATTTTAATCTTTGAATAATAGTAAGGATTTAATTAGTTTTGCCTCGTCAAAGGCACATATGATAAATTCTATATACAAGCTAGTATAATCTCTATATTTCCTATTAGTATATAGTAATTTTACTAGATGAGTGTTAGTCGAATTACTACGTCGAATTACTACGTCGAATTACTACGTCGAATTTATTGATTGTTATTTTCGACGAATTAGTGTTCAACCATTTGTATTTATGCTTCATAAGATCCGTTCATTGACGTCATAGTCTGCAGAAGATAGATCAGTCAATGTATATCTAAATTAACGAACATCCTTTCTCTTCCTGTATACATATATGCATTCGTCCAAATTGAAAATTCTTTTTATTTGAACATATTGTGTATACTGTATCATGAATGTCTTGCATCGACGATCAATGCATCGAAAATCAATGGGAATGGTCTTACCCCAAAATCACTGATGGCCAATGATACGAGAAGACAGTTGGAGGCTGTTCTAAGTCTCTTGTATCTATAGAAGGCTGCTAAAATGATCGAGTTTCCTGTTACGGTTATCGGTGATAGGATGCAAACTATTGAGACTGCTAGTACAACCGAGATTGGACTGATGTCCAGTCTTGTATCGATTCTGGTCACTGTTGGTATAAGGGTGGTCGTCAATTCATCGGCAATTGTGCTAGCTAACGACTCCGTAGCGATCCCTGACATTGTCATTCCTTTGAGACAATGTGTCCCTGTATTTTTTATCTTTACGTACAATGCGTGTTGTATATATGTATTTGTATTTTCGTTTGAGTTTGTTAGCCTTCCGTCTCGTCCTTCTTTTCTTTCGCCCACGCGTCCTTCAAGTCAAATTGGGTTCGTAAATGTCTCTTCCGTATGACGCCATATCGTTACCAATGAAAATTTCTGAATCGATGAAAGCATCAACTTACTCCACCCTACTAAAATATTTCTGGCAGGAACCATGCCTTTTTTATCCCCTTGTGTGTGTGTCTTAGATGATTGATCTTCCTTTCTGAAAATATAATTGATTGATTTTTAAGTCGATCTTTTTATTAATTAAACACAGGAATTATTTTTCTTAAATAAAAAGAGTATACATTTCATTTATTGATATATCGCGAAAATTACTCAAAATGTCTGATCACACATCACTGATGCCTTGACTTGTACTACTTAAAATACATATATGCAAATATTAAATTAAGATTAAACGAATTTATAATATAATATAAATAATTAAAATAAATCACATGTGTGTAGTAATATACAAATATATGAAATATACGCGCGATTAATAATAAGATAATTGATTAAATGAGAATTTATATATATAATTTGAAGTTATCACCTCTTGTCGGTATACATATATATATCTAAATAATAAATAAATAAAAATACGTAATAACACTCGCATATTTGCGGACGAGTTTGACGCGGTAAAGCACAAAGTGCTATCACTTGTTTGGAAGCATTCGGCGTTTGTTGAAAGGGAAGGATAATCGTGAATATATACATCGCACTTGTTGAAATTCATATGCAGGAAAATCAAGTCCATGCTATTATCTCATATTTGCAATTCGATTGTATTTGAATGCATTCGAACCCATGCAGTGTACCGTTAACATTATTTTTCGAGATGGTTTGAATTTGGAAGCTATTAAAATCATGCTTGTGCACTCTTGAAAACCACCAACGTTTATTGCCTACACCCACTACTACTACCACCTCTTTTTTCATTCGTAAATCTTCTGAAAACATTTAATTAATTTATGTACGTGGGATGGCTCCAGTAGAACACATGAATTTTCTAGTTTTCATTAACCAACCATCTTCTTGTAAAACCGTTTTCTATTTATTTGCCACACCGAATGCAATTAAGTTAAGGGCAGTTCACTTTTCGTTTCTTCCTTTTTATGCATATTATTATTTGCGTGCTATCACTAACACGGGGGAAGATCATTTCTTTCTTTTCTTTTTCTTTCACGATTGCAAGAAACGTTTCAATGTTTGTTATACTGTTTGCTTTATCGAAATACTTATCACTTGGATACAATCAATTATAATAAAGAAAATATAACTTAAGTAATGTTATTTTATTAAAATTTTTCGGAATGTATTAACGTTGCATGAAAAGAAAAGAGAGATGCTATAGGGTGTAGATGAATTATGATTTTCACTCTGAGAATATCAAAGTGTATTTTCATTATAATGAAGTACCTTTCGTATATTGTTAAGCATTTCTGAGAGAGTTTATGCATAACCAAAGACTTGCAAAGCGAATTCATACATATTACTAGTGCTATAGCAAAGCAACGTGAATTATCAAAATTTTTGCTTATTTAGTATAACATGCATGAACATTTTTAGTATAGTTTTATTTTCCAGAACTTTGTAAAAATCATTTAACATTATTTTTTGCTTACGAAAACTTACGAAAACGCTTGTGTTAAAATATATTTTTCAATAGTAAATCGAAGTATTTAAATTATTATTAATTTGGCGTTGTGTAACTCTCGTTTAATAATTTTTATTATTATTTTTTTCTTTAGAATCTTTTACAAATATTTTCACATTATTTTCTTCTCACGGACATTTGTGTTAAAATATTTTCGTCGAGTTTCGGGGAACGCGTAAAAATTTGTCATCGACCGATAACGATAGTTTCTATAGTTCTGTAAATAATCAGTTTTTTCTATAATTTAAAAAACTACTTCCTCCAGAGCTCATCGTGGAAAGTTTGAAACGATTACACGATCTTATAAAGTTCGAACGTAGAGTAGAAAACCTCGATCGAATTTCTCGGTTAACTGAACTTTATAAATTATTTAATACCTAGTCGTCTATTATCGATGACTCGTCAATGATGCTCTTTCTCTTAAGAATCGACAGTTTGACGTTTAATAACTGTGTTCGAAAATAACTCATAAAAAGTCGTCCTTCGCTAGTTGCATCTCATATATTACATGTATGCATGTACGTAGAAAAATTGCAACGTTATTATTAAAGTGGAACTTTTAAAAGAAATATTTTTTTCAACAATTTTAGTATTTATTCAAGGCAACGAATTAATATCTATAGATAATAAATTTATCATGTTAGTTTAATATCTTGTCTTGTTTTTATAATAAGAGAAACGAATATTAATGAAAATTAAATTGTAATGAAATGTCAGATTTAAATTACATTTTTTTCCGTTGTTTTCTATTTATTATTTTACTCGTATTTTCAAATCATTTCTTCGTAAAATGAATTTTTTAAATTTCAATTCTCGTTCCCGTTCCAAGTTGAGACATAATAATTCATTCGAGAGGGAGGGGGGTACGAAAATGGAATTTTCAAGAAAAATATTTGCAAATTATTTCTTTCACGAACAAAAAATAAATCCGGAGTTATCGTTCGGTTCACAATTTTTCTTATTATCCTTTTTTTTTCTCCGATTATTTTTAAAATAACAATTCAACCGCGTCCTACCTATGAATAATATTTCGTGAAAAAACATTTTAACGACGTATCCGTATTTTTATATCGAATTTTATTAAATACCGTTATGGTAAAAGTTCTTTTTGTTTTTTTTCGTATGATAAAAAAGTAGGCACGAAATTGTTCGAATTTCGATCGACAGATTTGTCGAAGCATGTGCGTGTGTTCTATTGAACCATGAAATGGAATTGGAATTCTTATCGTGAAATATCGAGAGAGATACCTCTTTGAATCTGTGGATATAATATTTTTCTGACGATGTGTCAATAAATTCTACTGTATTGAGCATTTGGCAAAAAAAAAAAGGAAGAGAATAATAATTAAAAAAAAAAGAAAAAAAAAGGAAAGAGAAACGTGCAATAAAAATTTATATTTTAACGTATGCTAACGAGTATAACTCGATAATCATTCACTCTTTGTTTTTGGGTAATGAACGTCACCTAAAAAAGTTTAAGAATAAATGAATGATAAAATAAATTAGAAAAATGACGATATTTCGATTAAATCGATAAAATTTCATTTATTCGTTTTTATTTGTCAAATTTATATTTAAACCCTTTGAATTCGTACGCCATATCTTATCTACATTTTATCTAAAAAAATAAATACAATTTGACGAGTAATGAGACAAAAATTGTATATTAAGGGTTAAAATACGGTAACGAATATATCGATAATCATTCGAACTCTGTTTTCAAACCTTTGAATAATGAGCGTTAACTATACGCTCTGGAAATTAATGAACGATACAATTGATTGAGAAGACGACGGTGTTTCGATGGAATCAATAAAGTTTAACTTATTTGTTAAGGTCGTAGTTTCTGACACGTGAAACATTAATTAAACCCAACACATTCGTAGATATCGATCTTTCCGGTATTTCCCAAGGAATTTCAGTTTCGCCATGATTGACCTAAAATGGTCAAATGTTTCGAATGTGTCTTCCTTCTGTCAGATATTTCTATGTGTATATGCGCTTGCGCGTGGGTGTGTAGTATCTACTTATATATCGTTTGAGTCTCGTTTAAAAGACCCTTTAGGCTGGCAGCTTCCTTTATTAGAACAGAGAAAAGAAGCTTTACAGAGTGTTTTATAAACTTCGTAATAAGAAAATGAGCTGTGTGTTCTGGACTTGTTGACTTTTTCAATTCTCATTCTTTTAAGTATTCCTTAATCATAGTACATTCATCCTTGTCTTTTTCAATTGACAAAAAACACTGGAAAATAAAAATTTAAATAAAAAAAATATGCCGATTTAAAAGGATTTCCTTTTTTTTTTTTTGTTTTTTTTTTTTTTAAGAATATTCTCATAATGCTAAAATAAAAAGGAAATATAGGTAGATATATTAGTATAGTTACTCGATAACACCTATAACAAATATGTTCACTCATTGAACAGATGCGGGACACGATGATTTGCTTCTTCTTTATTTTCTTTCTTTTTTTTTTTCTAGGTTGATAAAAATCATACCCGCATTGGCGGTACCTTGAGGGTATATTTAAGGATTCTCTTGCGTGCATTGAACCTTTTTGCTACGCAAAATATTGATTTCACTTCAAGGTATACACAGTAAGTTCCGTCATTCTTTTTATCTTCGTTGCTTTTGTTTTTTACTTTTGTTCAAATATTTAATTGTGATAATATCTAGGAATGATTTAAATATTGATTAAAAAAAAGAGAATGAACGAAGATAAATTTTATTGAAGAGTATATTTAAAATTTTAATTAAATACGAACGAACAAATTATCTCCTTGAGTTTCTCCTCTTTTTTGTTTCCATATTTTATATCGTTTTATTAAAGATGTATTTGTACAATTTGCATATATGCACACGTTGAGAGAATTATTCTTTATAAAAAGAATATTAAAATAATGTCCATTATCGTTAGTTAATTTCTTTAACTTTTTCTTCATACTTTTCGTCACGATTGACTTTTTATTATTTGACAATGATTATTATTATAATTAATAAACGGTGTAATGCTGTATATTAATTAAAATAGGAAGGATATGCAAAATAATTGTTATCCATTTGTGTCTGGTTTATCTCTATTTTGTCGTGTCTTTCTTCGTTTTTCTACTTTCTATGTTTTATTTTATTTTCTTTGCTTTGACCCTGCACTTGTACTCAACATCATCTCGGCTTTGGCTCCAATTCTGGTTCCGACTTCGGCGCCTTCTACATCGGTCACGGTCACAACTCCTGTTTTTTCCCACGCGTCGTTGATTTCACGAGAAAGGAGTTTCGAATAAAGCTTTTAACTTTGCCAAGACTATTAATACGATTTTTCGATAATGTAAGATCAAGGATTCCTAAGAGGTCTTTTCTTATTTTTATGTCCTTGCGAATATATACGTCATCTTTTTAATACTTCATTTATCAGGAATTAGATAATCCATCTTGAAATTGAATTCATATATTAATTCATTTATAAACTATTATCTTAAATAAAAAATAAATAATAATAATAATAATAATAATAATTATAATGTATATAAAATGAAGAAGAATAAAAAAGATTGGAGAATTT